CACACACACACACACACACACACACGCACACATGCACACATATGCTCACACACAGCTTCTCTGAGAAATCTTCAGAGCTTCAGTAATGTTGGGTTGTGGATGCCGGGCTCTGGGACTCTGTGGCTGCTCCCCAGGCAAACATGAAGCCTGCAGTCTGCAACCACACGCTGAGAATCACCAAAATAAAAAAAAGCTTGAGTCATTTTAGCATTGGCGCTCTGTGGGATTTGAGCTATTTTGGGATTTGAAAGCGTGTGCGTATGTGTGTGCATTCAGAGAACTTGAGATGCAGATGAGGAGTGTTAACAGTGGTGGCAGCAGACTTCTTTAACAGTTAACTCAAAGAGGAATATGCAGACTCATGTTATCTGTTAGTCATTAACTAAAAAACTCATTTTCTCTGTCTCTTTCATCCAGATTCCCAGTTTCCGCTTGACATTTCATCTGTTAAAAGGGACCACGACTTTTTGGACCGGGATCTGGTGGAGCCTCTTTGTCGGTAAGGACGCCGGCACGTCGACGCCCCCACCCATACACACCAGAAAAATTCTAGCTTCCTTTTCCTGCTCAGTTCTCTGGCTTGTCCTGCGGCCTAATGCTAACTGCTACTCATTAGATGTCTGACCCCCCTCTCCTTAATGAACTCCCCTTCCACGTCTCCCACCCATATACTTTGAAGCTTTGATCTGGTCACCTCCCCTCCCCTCTGTCGAACTCTGATCTCCTATTCAAAGAGGAGAGACCCTCGGGGGGAAAAGCAGGGGGCGAGGAATGGGTGAGAGTAGTGGGGAAGGAGTGAAGGGATGCCAGTACTTCCCAACACTTTCCAACTTTGTGGTGTTTCTTTCCACATGTATTTGATTTTTCCTCTTCAGATCTCCTGTTTTCATTTTACTAAAGCTTTACATGGTTGCAACAGCTTATCCTGCTCCTTATCTGCTTCTTTTCTCTCTCCTGCTTACCCCCCATCTCCCCAGTGTCTATGGCAGAGGAGGGTGTGGTAATTAAAACGTTAGTGACTCCTGACAGCTATACCGTGAGAGAACACACATCAGATCCCCTGAAAGTGTCTCAAGAGCTATAAAACATGCTCATAATGTGTTGTTTAGATGTTAAATTATATGGTAATTTTCACTATGACACAAGTTGTGCAGAGCAATTCTTGTCTGGCCATTTGTATGAGAGGACAGAGAGGTTTACAGTGAACGAAGGAGGATTTCCTACTGTGTTGTTAGAGGGCTGAAATCCTTTCAAATGACAGAGGTCATGAGCCCTGAAACGTGTTTTTAACAATCCCGTCTTAAAGGCACGGACACAGACACCACCCCGCTAAAGAGCCACTCATCACATCCTAAATGAAGGTGGAGACAGTGGAAGCTTTCCTCAGGGTGAAGGGAGAAAAGTGAAGGGGAGGAGCTGGCCGTGTTCGGGACTGAGAATCAATTTCAGGGGTGTGATGCCAGCAGAGAAAAGTAGAAGAAGAGAAGGAGAAAATCAGCGTGGAACATGTGTGTAGACAGACTACAATGAAGATAGTGTCTGAGAAGAAGTTTAAAGCAGGCAGTGAAGAAGCAGTGGACCCAGCAGGGATGTGAGAAGGTGGTAGTGAAAAGCGAGAAAAGAGACTGAAAGGGAGCGGCGTCAGAGTGCAGATGGATAGAGACACACAACAGACAAATCGCATCCAGAAGAGCAGCTTTAGATGCAGCATTTGACTGTGCGCTTGTCTGTTGCAGGCGTCTGAATACTCTGAACAAGTGTGCCTCCATGAAACTGGACGTCAGTCAACCCAAGAAGAAAGTAAGTCAAAACTTTTGCCAATGAATTACAAGAACAGAGGTTTTTGCAGCTTGATTATTGTTCCTCAATTACTATACACAGCTACAGTACTTGCTTGCCTGAAAATTATGGTGTGGTGTACTGTCAGTCACCGTGATGAAATGCATTTTGATTCATACTGTAAAATTGTTAGCTTGTTCAACAATGGATCCCAAATCTTTCAATAAATTTAAGCTATTTTTATTTTCTAGTATCCTAAACTTAAGACAGTAGAAGCTCATACTTCCTTTTTCCTTCCACAGGGTGATGACTCCGATGAAGATGATCCATTGGCTATCAGTAAAAGGTGGACGTTCGAGTGGAGCAGCCGACGCTGGTCTCGGCTACAAGACTTCCTGTCTGACAGCACCAATGAAAGCAGCCCGACAGGTCAGGGGGAGGGTCTGCACAGCACAGTGAGCAGCGAGAGCGTGCTGACAGACCTGAGTGAGCAGGAGATCACGGAAATCTCCTCGCTACACAGTGAGGACTCCGCCTCTGCCATGCCCGACTCCATATCGATGGCCTCCCTCTCTGCTTCCTATCAACCGCCACGGGAGCTCCCACACTATAACTCCCTGCCGATCAAAAGCAGCCGCCATGGGCAAGGGAGGCGGAATAAAGCCAAAGAGTTTTTGCGGCGAATGGAAATAATGCGTACTTGGGGGCCATCGACGAGGCGCAAGGGCTCAAACCGCAGGCCACCGCTGGTCATCAGCGGGCCGGTGTTACAGGGGGAGGAACCTCAGGCGCTGCAGATGCTCCAGTGTACGCCTATCAGCCAATTAGAGCAGAGCCCTAAACACAACCACCAAACTGATGGTGACATTTCCCCTGACTCTCTTAGCAAGGATTGTAAAGACCAGGTCACAGTGAGTGTGAGCCCCAGCAACGAGACTGTGGAGCTCCCTGTGAAGGAGCCTGTGTGCATAAAGCCCCGCACTGCCAGCAAGAGAAGCAGCATGTATCTGGAGGATATGGTGTTGCCTTCTCAGGGTAAAAGGACCGAAGGTCAGAGCCAGTTTGGCAGACACCAGTTTCACTCATATGAAAACCTCCTCATTCACATCCCCAAAGACCATAAACCAGGCACCTTTCCAAAAGCCCTCTCCATAGAAAGCCTGGCGCCTTCCCCTGGTGACAGAAACAACGACCCTCACGTGCATGCCCGAACTTCTCCCCGTGACAATGGCCTGGGTGAACCCTGGTCTGGTAAACCTTTGTCTAAACCCTGTCCTGGAGCTCCACGGGGCAGCAGAGTGAGTGTTTATGACAATGTGCCAGGCTCCCATTTGTATGCCAGCACAGGAGACCTGCTGGACTTGGAGAAAGAGGACAATCTGTTCCCTCACCTGGATGACATTATCCAGCATGTCAGTGGTCTGCAGCAAATTGTGAACCACTGGAGCCGTAGCGTGCTGCCCGAAGGGGAGACGGGGGAGGGGGAGGAGGAAGGGGAGGGCCGGACCACTCCCAGCGAAGGTGAGAGAGACGGGGTCTCCTTAAATGACACAGATTCAACAGGGACCAGCCGGGAGAGGAGAGACTCTGGAGTTGGGGCCTCCCTCACAAGACCACGGTGAGCAGCCCTTCAGCTTTTTAACGGATAAATATGGTTTTATTACTACTTGAGTTGTGTTTTTATAGTTTTGGCCCTAAATTGTATTGATTATATTAACAGTGTAATCACTACAATCATGGCTGAGATCTTGAAGCACACCAAAGTACTCATGATGTATATAAGCAACAGTTTATTTGGGGAAAAAACAAAAGAGCACAACCAAAGTGTTAATGAAGCAGTGCACAGTAAAAAGGGTGGTGATCCTGGGTTATATTGTGTTTATATTTACAGCTCGTTGTTCACTTTCATTGGTGGTATAGATTCTAAATGATAAACCATAAAAAAAGGGTCAGTTACTGCTTGCATGTTTCATTTTCTCTTGCCTGCGTAAGAGTAAATAGCTAATAGATAGACATCAGGCTTAACTGCTGCCTAGCAACATCTCTGTCAAGTATCCAGTACTGGAAAATTGGTGCGATGCCCTTTGTTGTCCATATATGCCTCTCTGGACATGTACTATAAATGTTGGGAGTCCAAATATATTGCATGGTTCCTCTGAAGTTAAAATCGGCTCCAGCAGCCTGTGCTTGATGAATCAAGTGGGTGCCTTTCAAAGCTGAAGTCTTCTCACTCCACATCAGCACTTTGTCCTCCACCTTTGAACAGTTCTTACTAAGTTCATTAAGAAAAGTAATATATGCTTCTCCTACTCTCTGCTGGAGAATCATAAGAGCCCCTGATGGTTGAATGGTTGATTTTTAATCAAGGACCTCCTCTTTAACATTGAACAGGTTGGGTAATGTTTCTACTGGCTGCCTTCAGCAAATCAAATCTGTCTAACCTGAAGTTTTGTTTTAAACCAGTACAATTATATTCTTCCCTAAACGCTAGTTCCACAAAACTATAATAACAAGACTCAAAATAAACTAGACTCATATTTACAGTGACTGAATCACAGTGTCTGATTGTTTGCTGGTATTTTCTTCCCATCCCAGTCTACGATGGCCCAGTTTCAGAACTTCAGATCATCTCAGCCAGCCGGCATCTTCTCTGCAGATCAGCAGCCAATCAGCGGGCCAGCTTAGCCTGCTGCAAAAGTTTTCCCTGCTCCGCCTCACCGCCATCATGGAGAAATACTCGATGTCCAACAAACACGGCTGGACGTGGTGGGCGTGCATTACAATCACTGCACAAATTCAAGTCTATGTTTGTCTTTCAGTCATTCATTTATTATAAAACTAGAAATTCACAACCTGTCAAACATACACGCAAAGTATCTCAAACTGTTTTATACATTTCTTTATCAAACCTCTTTCTTCATCTCCCCGTCTTTTTTCCTCAAATATAAAAAATACAAACCATCTTTTTGGTTTTTCCTTATGTGGTCCAGGTTAGCAAGGTACAGTATGTTCTATACGTGTGACACTTTTTGCAGTGGTTATTTTGTCTGCTTCCATTAACTCTGCAGAAGAGCTGAAACAGCAGGACCATGTGGTCAATCATCAGCTTCATTTGGTTTCAAAACGTGCATGCCGCAGTGTTTGAACAAACTGGCTTTAGGTTGTCACCCCCACACACTTTCATCAGTTGATTATGCTCTCCAAACGTAAGCTTTGACTTGTTTACGGTGACCTTTGTTTACTCCTGTCAACCGGCATTTAAATAAAGAGAAGATAATCAAAGTATGTGCCACTTTTTCTGCCACACACTTAATTCTCTCTATTGCTTTCAGGTCTGTGCCAAAGTTTATGAAGCGCATGAAGGTGCCAGACTACAAAGAGAAGAGTGTGTTCGGGGTTCCCCTCATTGTCCATGTCCAGCGCTGTGGTTTTCCACTCCCCCTGTGTTTACAGCAAGCCCTCAGCCACCTCAGAACACATTGTCTGGACCAGGTTAGAATCAATAAAACTTTGTCCTTCTTAAAGCGCTACTGAAGGCGTGAATAAGCCGATAAAGAGTTAATGCCCTGCCTGTCTCTTTCCCGTGACTGTCCCTTCCCTTCTGGTCTTCTTCTCTTAGGTTGGATTGTTCAGGAAGTCCGGCGTGAAGTCTCGTATTCAGGCGTTGAGGCAGCAGTGCGAGTTGTCTCCTGACTGCGTGAACTATGAAGACCAATCAGCTTACGATGTTGCCGACATGGTCAAACAGTTCTTCAGAGATCTGCCTGAACCTCTCCTCACAAGCAAGCTAGGAGAAACCTTCCTGCATATTTACCAGTGTAAGCCACCTCAGAGGCACACCTGCAGTCATTTGCATGTGACTGTAAATAGCTTTAATGGTTTAGTTGGCCTTAGTAAACAGGCAAACACAGTATATGTGATCTGTTTGTTCTTCTAATCAAAAATTAAAATCACATTTTAATTTCTGAACCAGTAAAAAACAGCTTCAATCTTTAATCAACGATATGCTATAAAACAACGTTGTTAATTGTATCCAAAATCATAAATCATATTCAGTCAAACATTGAAAACAGTATTTGCTATATAATGAAGAATTTCTATTGTTTAAAACCTTAACCACATTGTTTATTTGACCCATCACTCCTCCTCACGTCCATATTTTTCTTCAGATGTCCCAAAGGAGCAGAGACTGCAGGCCGTCCGAGCGGCCATCTTGTTAATGCCAGACGAAAACAGGGAGGTTCTGCAGACGCTGCTCTACTTCCTGCGTGACGTTACATCAATGGTGGAGGAGAACCAGATGACACCCATGAACCTGGCTGTTTGTCTGGGGCCGTCGCTCTTCCACCTCAGCATACTGAAGAGCGAAGCCTTATCACCAAGGTGCGCATATGGGATGATGAACACGCTGATTCTTGCATAAAAAACATAGAAGCTGATGAAAGTGAAATTAATAACTCGTATTTGCCATTTGATTACATTTAATTACACTGTTTTAATTGTTTTTAGTTCTCCATAAATTCCACAAATTTACTCCTTTTGCTAAAATCTGATGCCACACAACACTAGTCTTTACAAATATTTCCTTGCATATAAAAATATCTCTCAAATTTCTCTTTTTAACTTTTGGATATTGGTAACTGATTTTATGCTTTGTTAATTGAGCAAATCTAAATACTACTAAACATTTGACTGTTACAGTCATCAGTTAACAAAAGAAGGATTCAGTTGGTTCTCAGTTTTGTTCACAGTTATGGATTATTCTGAGCAGTGTAAAAATGTCAGTGTAAACGAAGATTGTAATTATGTGTCAGTACATTTAGAAAATCAACAATCATGGTAAAAAAGAAGATACGTCCCATTTCAGGTATAAGGTTTCATGTTTGAGGATAAAATTCAATAGTACTTGGTCCTTACCAGGTGTTAAAATTAGATGTTTAAAACCTCAGGTGTGTCATTATTTATTTATTAAAATTGAAGAAAAAGTGCAGACACACTGTGAAAAGAGAAGTACACATTTATTTCTTCCTCCATAGAAAATAATGGGGTAAGTAGCAGCAAGGTTCTGCTAATCAAACGGTGTAACCACCCTTATAAAGATTGTTTGTCGTGCTACCACTCTGATTCTCCTTCCTTGTTGTAATGTTTGCTATAATTTGCATGAAGATCATTTGTATGTTAGGGATCTGGACTTAATTCTGTCCATTAATGACTCCGTATATATCACCTGTTGTACAGTTCTGTATATTCAATAATAATTTGTGTTCCTCAAGGTCAATTCAGAGGAAGTACACTACAGGCCAACCCGATCAGAAAGACCTCAGCGAGAACCTGGCTGCCACTCAGGGCCTGGCACACATGATCACCGAGTGCCAACGTCTGTTTCAGGTCAGGATCAAATACGCCACTATTTATTTCTGTTCACAAAGAAATAATACATGACTCTATCTTTATGTAAGACACTGACAAACAAACATGAAGCTGACTGATGTTTGCCCTGCTGCGTGGTTAGTAGCCAAGGCCACGTTATAATTGCATTTAATGAGCTCATTTCTAAAACTGTAGCTCATCATTACTTTGAGGCTGTCAGCGTGTACAGTATGCTGCTGCTTTCAGGGAGAAAGACAAACAGATTTGATTACTATGCATGCGGTTTGAAGGGTTTTCATACAGGACTGAATGATTAGCTCTTCTTAACCCACAGAGGACTGCAGAATTCCTCCAACACAGGGAAATGACCAGTGAGGTTATGTTTAGAAGATAATGGATATTAAAACGTTTTACCAAACTGACAAGAGCTGCTGTAATACACTATTAAACTTATAACTACAGTTCATTTTCCTCTGTAAAAGTTTTTGTATTTAGCTGAAGTGGTGCTGTGTGATCTGATTCACTTTCTCTGGCTGTTCCACAGATCCCAGAGGAAATGGTGACCCAGTCCCACAACTCCTACATGGAAGCTGAGCTGATGGTGCCCCCGCTGGACGAGCTTTGCAAAGCTCACGAGGAGGAAGTGGATGTGGACGAGGAAGAAGAAGATGAGGAAGGATCCTATCATGCACACCTAGAAAGGCTGATCCAGAACCTGCTGAAAGAGGCCAAAGATAAGAGCAAAGGCTGGGTGTCTCGCTCAACTACTGACCATACAGAACTGTCATTTAAAAAGGTATGTGTGGCTACTGAATCTCTAGAATAATGGATGGATATTGGGAGGGTTTGGAAGAAACTGGATG